CGCAAGTACAAAGTAATTAGCTGATCTTGACTTCTGAAAGTCATAACTTAAAATAGCATGACTGATAAAATATCTGACATGACTGACTTGAAAGGTTGTTATTTCCTGAACTCTCACTGATTCGGCCCCCAGCTTCAAGCCTCCATGGTATACTCGGCTGAGTGGCTCTTATTTCAAGCCTCCATGGTAACCCGGTCTATTGACTCTTATACACTGGAAACCGTTACTGATGACTTGAGAACTATAACAACCTTTAACATGAACATTCTTGCTTTGAACAGGACTTACTGTTTTGACTTAGGAACTTTGAGTCTATTCCTTGAATTAAATCAAGGAATTTCTCCCTGAAGTCTGCCAATTGATTGACAAAATGGCAGTTCTCGATAAAAATTTCTGAGAAACATGATTCTTACGATTTGTTTAGCACAATGCTTACAAATCTTCTGACAAGTTACTAACTTGACTGAGTGAATCTAGAATTGAATCTAGAGTTCTTAAACTCAATCCTTTTCTACGGTTCTGAATTCACTTGCCCCCGATACGGGGGTTTCTTCGGCCGAAGAATTTCTCAACATGATAATCGCGGAACTGTGCGACTACTGTGGCTTAAATAAATACTGAGTGATCGGGTTTCCTTATGAGACGGTATCTGAACATCGGGAAAAGTTTAACATTACTGAGTATGCGATAGCATTACTGACTGATTACTAGGCACACAGATCTCTTGACGAGTTGCCAAAATTGGACGATAATTACTGACTGGAAATCTGAAGAACTCGAGTCATCTCGGAAAAATCTTAACATCTAGAGTCATATCTGAATGCCTGAATTCTAGAGTCATGTCCAACCTCCAGAGTCTGAATCTGATTCGAGCATCTTAACTAAAGTTCTGATCCTCAATTCTGAGCATAGACAAAGTAATATGTTTATAATAACTGAAAAACTGAATTGCAACAGCACTTACCTGTCGTCGGCAGGGCGTGAACATGACGGTTCGGGTGTTATTGAAAAATTTCGGACTGTAAACTTTTCTAAAAAAAAAATTACTTACTGAAAAACTTATCTGACTGAAAACTTATCAGAGACGCAGAAACGTGCTCTGAAACCAATTGTAACACCCCACCTTACTAGTAAATCAGAGTAGCACATTTATTCGCAAAGTCTTTGAAAACTAAAACATTTTTACTGCGCGAAACTGATTTGGGGTGCTACCGTGAAAATCTTTACTTATCTTTAGAAAAACCGTTGTTTTAACTTATTAAAAACGTCCGATTACTTATAACTTTATTTCCTGAAAAGTTTATCAAAGTATGATAAAACGTCCAAATCATCAAACCATCGTCAAAAGATAGTCAAAACGTAAGCGGAAGCGTAAATATTAGTTATA